AAGATCCACTCTCCACTCTTGACTCATTCACTGCAGTCAATGCTGCTCCAATTTCCATTAAGTAAAAGGTTTTCTCTAATCTATATACATTGAACTATGGCTTGACTTTGGTGAGCTACAAGGGAGTAATTGCTTTGTGGAGGTTCTGGGAACATCAAAACATAAGAGCTGGACTCAAGTGATTTGTCAGGCAGCTTTTAAAATAGTTGCTTGTAAAAGCAAGAAGAAAGAGATTTTCCTTGGTTTTAAAATGAGGCTTTGACTAATTTTTTTTGAACTACAATTCCCAGAATGCCATCTACCTTCCGAAATGAAAGCTACTTGAATTTCATATTGAGAGCCTGAGATCAATTTGTCTTTCAAGGTTCATAAATGACTCAGCTCCAAACAACCAGACACCCAGAAAAGGTTTCTAAGACTAAAGTGAGACAGAGAAAAGGCCCAATAGCCAACCTCACCAGAATATTTTAGAGGCGTTATTTGGCTTAAATGTTTCAGCTCTATTTGCCTTTGTAGTAAGAACTGTTCCTCTTGATCTTCAATGTATGAGCCACTACACAAGTACACAATTGAAGTACACAATCCCCCTAATCTGACCTTGGGGATCATAGTCTATCATTAAAAATTTCCAAGGCAATTCAGTCTTTGGAATATAGCATTATTTAAGGATCTCTGAATCAGAAGATTAAGATCTAACCATCATTTTGGGTTTTATAAGTATTACTCTTTATTTTGACATAGTTGAGTGGCATTACATTGTCCTTGGGTAAAGAACAGGGTAAACATCAGGTCCCTGAGCACTGGTTTGAAAGGAAAAACTTGACATTGGGGAAATGAGGTCACTTAATGGATTCTGGCTTTGGTTTTTTTCATCTTAAAAGTACATACAAAAATCTTTCCTTCCTGATGCCCCTTTTCTGTAAATAAAACTACAACCACTTATTACTTAGGAGACTATGACTCGCTTAGATTAGAGCTATGATAAAAACGTGGCTCAGGGCACAGAGCCTGAGTTTTCTGTTCCACCACCCACTAGATGTAATAAATGGTATAATATAAACTCTTCAAGTCTCATTTGCTACTTTTAAATTTGGATTATCGTAGTGTCTGCCTACCAGGCTGCCATAAGGTGGAATGAGATAATGCATGGAGTGTTTAGCCAGCAGTGGGCTCATAGTAAGCAGTCTAAGTGCTAGCTACTGTTAGTAGAATCTTAAAACAATCTTTGGCATTTCCTGTTCCTTCATATCCAGTATGTCAACAAGTTCTAACAATTTTTCTATCTTTTTTTTTTAAGATTTATTTATTTATTTATACAAGCACTGGGTACAGTCAGAAGCGCGGGAGGGTGAGAGAATTCACCAGAGTCAGAGTGGAGAGCAGAGCAGGCAGACTGACGAAGTACACTTCTGAGGGGAGCAGCGGGTAGCAGGAGAGGTCTGCGCACCATGTAGGACCCTCACCCAACGGCTGATTGAACCAGCGCTACAGAGGCTGCGGGCAGTTTCGCAACCCAGTGCTCAACTGCTGCGCCACCGGGGAGACCCACAATTTTTCTATCTAGCCCTCTCTCTCTCATCTGTCTGTCTACCTACCTACCAATCTGTATCCATTAATTAAAAATTACCCTTGAAGAAAATGCATAAACATTTGCTAAGTAGGATACACACTCACCTGAGAGTACTGGTTATTTCTGAGGAGGAAGATGGGGGAATAGGTTTGAGAAGGGATGTATTTTGCTTTTAAAAAAACATATCAGAAACAAACATGGCAGCAAAGGTTATATCATATTTTCTTCTGTGCCTTTTGGTAGCTTAGAATTTTAAAACTTTAGCTTAGAATTAAAAAGACCAACACAAAGCAACAGACATCCCCTCATAGCACTATGGTGTTAGGCAAGTTACTTGTCATCTTCCTTGTCTGTAAAATGGGAATATCAGCACTTGCTGCAGGATTACAATGAAGAATTAAGTGAATTTCAGAGATATTTTTCTTCTTGTTGTAATCATTAGCATCTGGTAGGTAGCTTCTTTGTCCACTGTGTTGCCTGCTAACTCAAAGTGCATCAGAGTGCAGAATAATCTTCTTGCATGCTGCTTCCTCTCATGGCTCCTCCAGGAACCTGCATTCTTTCTTCCTGGCATATCCAACCCAGGTCAGGCAGGCCTGCTGGAGGCTGAATCTCTTCTTCTGCCCTCAGCACTATGGCTGGTGACAGCCGCAGACACTTTTGTGTGTATACTGAGAGCCTCTAAAAAGCCTATGTGGTCCTGTTGGTGGGAGTGCAAACTGGTCCAACCACTGTGGAGAGCTGTGTGGAGATTTCTGGACATACTAAACATAGAGCTTCCATATGATCCAGCAATTCCACTCCTAGGTATTTACCCAAAGGACACAGAAACATCAATTCCAAAGAACACCTGCACCCCTATGTTTATAGCAGCACTGTTTACAATAGCTAAGCTTTGGAAACAACCCAAATGCCCAAAAATAGATGACTGGATCAAGAAGATGTGGTACATATATACCATGGAATATTACTCAGCATTCAAAAAAGATAAACACATGCAATTTGCAGCAACATGGATGGCGCTGGAAGGGATCATGCTCAGCAAAATAAGTCAAAAAGAAAAAGAAAAATACCGGATGGTCTCACTCATAGCAGGAATCTAGAAAACTTAAATAAGGGACCAGGAAAATGAATAACTATAAGAAAGTGAAAATCAAAATCAACAAAAAACTATGAACCAGAGACACTTTTAGGGGGGCGGGGGCGGGAGGGGAGGGATTGGGGTCAGAATGGGGGGGGCTGCAATTGTATGGGGAATATAAAAATAAAATTTATTATTTAAAAAAAAAAAAAAGGAAAAAGCCTATGTGGTCAATTCAACTTGATATTCCCAGTGAAGGAAAGGAGAAAAAGAAGAAAGAAAAAGACTGGAGACTAGACTCAACTCCTGGTTCCCACATGAGCTCAGAAGTGACTATATTCCTAGGGAAAGTCATTTGAGTTCCGGATCTCATGTCCTTTTTGTGCTCTACAGTGGCCCCTACAATCCAGTTCTTACTCAGAACGATTCCTGTCTACCACGCAGGGCTCCTCAGTGGACCACACATGGCACTTGAATTTTGTTCCTTTTTTCCCAATTCATACCCAGTCTCTAAAACTCTGCCTGCCTAAGTTCTAGGCCTTTCCATAAACTTTCGTCAATATATTTTACCTACGATTAAAAAAAGAAAAAAGAAATCTAACACATTACTTATAAAGTTAGTCACTGTTCAAAGTAATTTATGCATGTTAATTTATTTTAGCCTCACAATATCTCTAAGGTAACTATTACTATTACCCCATTTTTATTGACGTGGAAACACACATAGAGTGATCAAATGACCTTGGCTAAGGTCACCCAACTAGTTAGTGGCAATATTGGCACTCAGATGATCTGCTTCAGACCAATGTAATTTCCTTTATAGTATGCCCCCCTTTCTTAAAGTTTTATTTTAAAGTATGAATATAGGGCCTCCCCGGTGGCGCAGCGGTTGAGCGCTGGGTTGCGAAGCTGCCCGCGGCCTCTGTGGTGCCGGTTCGATCCCCGGCTGCTCCCCGGCCACTAGAGGAGGGTCCCACATGGCGCGCAGACCTCTCCTGCCGCCCGCTGCTCCCCTCAGCAGTGTACTTCGGTCCTTCTGCCTGCTCTGCTCCCTGCTCTGGCTCTGGCTCTGGTGAATTCTCTCACCCTCCCGCGCTTCTGACTGTACCCAGTGCATGTATAAACAAAACAAACAAACAAATAAATAAATAAAAACATGCCTCTATTAAAAAAAAAAAAAGATTAATTATAAAAAAAAAAAAAATAAAGTATGAATATAATAAAACTTACCCTTTTAAAGTATATGATTTGGGGGGGTTTAGTATATTCATAGCATTTTATAATTATCACCTTCTGATAAATTTAAAATTTTTTCATCATCCCCAAAGGAAAACCATTAGTAGTCATAGTCCTCCTCACTTCCAGCTGCTGGCAACCAATAATCTATATTCTATCTCTGTGGAGCTGCTCAGTTCTGGACTTTTCATAGAAATGGCATCGTAGGACATGTGGTCTTTTGTGACTGGTTTCTTTTAGTTAGCGTAATGTTTTCAAGCTTCATCCATGTGGTAGCATGCACTGGTTCTTCATTCCCTTTTGACAAATATTATTCCATTGTATGGCTATATCTCACTTTGTTATCAATTCATCTGTTGATGGACTTCTTTTTTTTGCTTTTATGAATAATGCTATGAACATTTGATTTCAAGTTTTTGTGTATATGTACTCAATTCTTTCAGATCTAAAATCCTTTCCTAATCAATAGCTTTTCACTTCTTCCATCATAATTATATTTTCATTAAAACTGAATAATATTGCCCTAATTTATATTTTCTTATTTTTTTTTTGTAGTCAGAGCATAATGTTAACACCCCATAAATACCGATGAATAGAAATTAAATCTCCATGTAATTACAGAAGCTGGGGGAGGTAGCTTTGGAAGGATGCTGTTCTCAGAATATACTTTCCAGACACTCCTAGGAATCTTGTGAGATACTCAAGTTGGATCATTTGACAGGTGAGAAAAAGAGAGCTGCTAAAGAGTTTTCTGACTTACTCTAAATTGTATGCTAAACAGCAGTGCCTGGACCAAATCAAGACCACCTACTCCAAGGAATGAGCTCGGATTTCTCCAAGGTCAGGTCAGAACAGTAATGATCTTGGGATATGGAAAGGAAATATGGGTAAAGATACAAACATTCTTATTAATACCTATTCTTGTCTTTTGCATTTTTTAAAATAAAATGAATGAGACAAAAAGCCTGGCTCCAAGATATCCTTAGCTGTCAGGAGGGATACCCGCCTCTCACAAGGTGCTCATTATGAGAATCACTTGAGACCATACTAGTCATTATTCAACAAGACATTCTAGAACCCACTACTACTATCTTACAGAAACCAAGTCCTCACCTGCTATTTGCGCCCTTGTCCTGGATGTGCAGGTTGTCCTTGCTGGCCCTCTGTGCAGCTTTTCTGCTTGCCTCCTCTTCTGTCTCACTCAGACTTTCCTGGACAAGGCTTTCTTCCTCTAAGCTGTCAGCCTCCATGTCCTTGTTTTGAATTCGACCTTCCAGTCGGGACTGGGATTTAATCCCTTGAGTGACACTTTCTGAATCAGATTCCAAGGAGTCTTTTGAAATCACTTGCAAGTCTTCTTTATTAAAAGGTGGTTCTGTGGACTTGACCTTTAAGTTGCTATGATGGACAGGAGACTGACTAGAGAACTTGGGGACTAATTTACTATGACTCATCTTGGAAAAACACAAAAATTAGCAGGCATCTTCATGTTGATAGGAGCGGTTGGCTGAATATTTACAGTTGTGGGTCACCAAAGCATTACCTAAGGAAATTACATTTTTGTTATATTGTGACTACTGAAATAGTTTTGACATCAATGCTAATCAAAAGTTTAAATGAGTAAGAAAACCTTGTTATATTATCTGAAGGCTTTTGTGTGTACCCTTTTGTGTGTGTGAGATGCAGGTCTATTGGAAAAACGATTGTGTTTTTCTCTCTTCAGAAACACAGCTGATGAAGAGCTTATAACCTGCCTGAGAAATCGAATGCAGCTTTATCGAGGCAATCAAATGGCTGCTTGGAAACACATTCCTTTTTCTAGCTTCTAAAGGCCTGTGACAGACAAGCCTGGACAAAGCCAAATGGTTAATTATGGACAGTAATGATTTCAGTGGCCTTATTTCAGACACCCAGGGCACCGAAACAGATATGCCATAATCAGCAGTACTCATGAATAGAGCGACTGGGTCAGGGTCTACCTTTTGGAAAGGAAAGGATGTGGAGGGGGGAGACTGTAAACTCCATAGTTGAAACTATAGAGAGGGAAGCTGTTTTATTCCTAGATCTGGTTTCATCATTTGGAAGACTTCTTGATACTTGAGTTGCTGCTAGAGGGAAATATACAGCTTAGGTGGACATTACATGGAAATCAAGCTCTGCTCAATATTGACAAAATAACAAACCATAATGGTTAAGACTGTTCAACAAAAGCTTTGGTGGCTTTGTGAATCCTGTCACTGAGTGCTCATAGCAGAAGCTAGGCGTCCATCTGCCTGAAAGGGATGCTGTCCTGGGAAATGTTGGGGGTTGGTGAGGGACATGTCAGAATAATAGCTAGGGTTCCTTCTAACTCACTGCAGAGTGTGATTCCAAGTGAGCTCTCTCTGTCTCAAAGAGCTCTGATAAAGACCTACGAGGTGGTTTATGGAAAGGGGGCTTTGAGTTCATGTAGGATTGAAAGGAGATGATGTTATTGGATTGTGTTTCCTTTCATCTCTACCTAGTGTTTCTATTTTGCTCTGTCTTTATCTCACTGCCTTTAAGCCACTTTTTTCTGTGGGTCAGATAAGAGAAATCTTTACCTTCAGAGATTACTGTGAGATTTGTCTTAATGGGTTGCTCTTGTTCTTTGGACAAATCCTAACTTTAATTGAGTAACACTACCTTATTCCTACTCCTAATAATGTTGACCTTGTTGCTAACGTTTCCAAGGAACAGCATCAACTCCTTGGAGGAAAGCACCTTAACAAACAAGACAGACGAAAGTTAGCATTCATGTTTAAATGCACATGAAGTGTATCCCCTGTTGGTAGACTGACATATATATATTTATATATAATTATATATACATAATTATATATATGTACACATACATACATAATTGTCTAACCATACATAGACTAGTTTGCAATATTTAGCCTCTTATTTTGAAACTAGTTACTGCATTCTACTGTATTATTTTAATATTGATAATTAGCTGTGGCTTTTTTAGGGGGGTTTTAGAAAGCAGTTATCCATCAAGTACTAATATATTTGATCTGAAACCTTTTGAAAATATTGGTTTTACTGTAAGAGTTCAAGTCACTGTGTTTAAAGAAAAAAAGCTTAATCATTTCAATTTGGAATTGCTCTTTCATGAAATAATTCGATTCCTTCAATTTATCTTCTTTTCTTGAATGAGATACATTAGGGTTTCCTGGAGTTAGCAACAACAACAAAAACAGTGCTCATAGAATAAGATAATAATTGTTAACAGAGTAATGAAGTTGGGGAGAGTATGAAGAAAACAAAACCAAATACCATGAACGCTGGGCCTTCTGTGGAGGTCTGATCTTATAAAAGCATAGGATTAAAGGAGGAAAAGCTGACAGTTGGGCTCAATGAGAAAGTGGGGGGTTTGAGTGTGGCCCCCTAGTGGGACAAGTTTTTCATTGAAATTTCTGACAGGTCAGAGTCAACATGACAGACTGAGCTCTATCCCAGAGTGCCCTTACCTAAGCAACTGGCCAATTCCCTGGGGCCTCCTCACTGCCTAGGGTCTGGCCCTCTAGTACTGGGGGAGAAGCAAGTTTCATTCTTTGCGTGGAAAGGAGGCCTTGCTAACCCTCACAAGAGAGGAAAAAGTTGCTGTTTTGAAACAGGCCACCCTAAGGGACTTACGGCTTGTTTTCTCCCTTTCTCTCTATTCGTGATGGACAAATTCCAGCAGTGGAGCAGCACATGAGGGGTGTCCAGTGCGTCCGGTGCCCTGGACCAATATTAATCAACCAGAGCTGCTCTGGAGGTCCAATGCTAGAGTCTTTCCAGACCCTGGTCACCCAGTCCCTGACCCGTTGGCCGCCCCGCCCCTCCTGCCCCATCCCAAATGCTGGCAGGGGTGGGGGGGTGGGGGGGTGGGGGGGCGGGCTCCTTTGCGCCCTCTCCAGTCCTGATTTGGTTTTCCATGGAGCTTTGCTGCTCAGTCCCCTGACCCTGTCCTCAGACCCTTCCCGTTTCCCTCCCTGCACACGTCGCCCACCCCGTTCCAGAAGCAACCGCCCGTCACCTGCCGGGTGCTCCTCGGGGCTGCGACCCCCGCAGCCTCCTGCGCAGCCGCCGGGGCTCCAGCAGGGCCACCTCCCAGGCCCCGCCCGCCGCGTCGCCAGCGCTGCCTGGAGACGGGAGGCCGCAGCCAACAGAGCCCAGCACGCTCTGGGAGGGCGGAGCCAGGTCAAGGCCACCGTGTAGGGTGACACCACCTGCAAGAGCCAAGAGCCAGGGCGGATGGTTGTGATGATAGCTTGGGGAAGAGCCCCCAGGATCCCCGAGGGAGGTGGGGTTGAGGGGGAGGGTTTGCTGTCAGACCACCCAGACTTTCCAAAGTTGGAAAGCTAGAAAAGGCAGGCCTCCCAGAGGGTGGAGATATTTTGCAACCGATACTGCTAGGATAGGAGAAGAACTAGTCTAAGAATTCAGTGAAAGAGTAAGTTGAAGAGGAATCTCACAAAAGAAATCCAAATCGTCAATAAATACTAGGTGTTGATGAAAACAGTGGCCAATTAATTACAAATCAGAAGAACGCACATTAAAACCCCAGTATCTGTCCCTACACCCTCACCAGAGGGGCAAATATGAAAATACTTGGACACGCTGGGTGCTGGGGAGGATGGAGAGCAAATAACCTCATTCACTGCAGATGAGTGTGAGGGCCACAGCCACTTTGGAAAATGGTTTGTGTTTACCTGGGGCAGGTATACTTTGTGATCCAGCAATTCCACTTTGAAGTGTTCACCCTAAAACAAGTGTGTGCTTATTTGTACCCAGACTGGAATGCCTGGAATGTCCAATGATAATAGAGTGCTTAATTCAATGGAGGTATTCTGTATATTTATGTTAAACTGTGACAACTGAAATAGCTTGGACATAATACATAATAGTGAAAATGAATGAAATCCTACTCCATAGTGGCATCATAAAAATACAATATTGATGGGTGAAATAAACCCAGAAAAATAAGAGTGTATGTTTTGTATACAGATATTAAAAACAGACAAAATTAAACTGTATTGTGTTTGTGGATGCATAGTGGAGAAAATTGTGAGGGAGGGGAAAAAAAGCAAAATAGTGATTCCCGTAGATTGAGAATCATGTTCAGCTGTGGCAGGCAGGATGGCGGTTCTGGGACAGTGCTTTTGAGATTGTATTTTCTGACTTTTAATGCTGGTTACACAGATAATTCAGTTTATAATAATTCATTAAGCAATATACATTTAGTATGTGTAGACTATTTTGCTATGATAAAGACTCCAAAGAAGACAAAAGAAAGGCAGTGTTAATATTTATATTAATGAGAATTAATATTCACATTAAGACCGCAAGTGGATTTAAGTAACTATCTTCAACGAGGCAAGCATGCTTCAATACGATTTGCCTCACAATGATCAGAAGCATAGAGAATTAGAAAATGTTTTTACTGCTCAATTTTACCATTTTCTGCTTTTTATTAGAATTAGATTTTTTTAAACTTTTTTTTTTTTTGACACGAGAACTTGTCTGAGTATACATCAAGACCTCAATATTTCTTGAAGAAATGAAAGCAAGGTAGCTGGAGACATTGGTGTTATTCTGCCCAGTGTATCACACAAGTTAATGCTAGGACAAGTGCAAACATGCAAACAAGCCCCAAGCAGAAGGATTTATTCCTCATAGAAGCTTCTAGAAGATGTTTGGAATGGGCGCTGAGTCATTCACTCTTGCCCACTTTCTGTCTACTGATCCATGGAGATGGATGCTGTGGTACTTCTGGTGCTTTCTGCAGATAGGAAAACATGGCACCCAGATGATTCAGGATACTTCTTCAATCTAGCACTTACTTGCAGAGACTGGTCACATGTAGAAGACGGGAGACCCTCAGCTTGACTTTCCTCCTTGTGATGGTGGAAGACTGGAAGAGTAAACATGGATGGCAATCAGGTTCCAGTCAGGAGACAGAAGTCACACCAGTTACTTTAATGGAAATAATTTAATGGGAATATTAACTAAACAATTGTGAAATGAATATAGGTATCATGGGCATAGTAACTATACCACTATTTCAGGAAAGAACTCGGGAAAGAATTTGTTGTGATTAACATTTAGAAACTGGTGATGAAGCCGGTGCTGGGAGCATCGGGGAAATTGTAATCAACTCTTGCTACTGAAGCATTGAGTTGCTCCATGAAGAAACACTGTCAGTATGTCCCTGAGAGGAAGCAGGGCAGTCCCTTTTCATCTGTTCCAGTTCCAGTATTGTAGTCTTCCTCTAGTGCCCCCTGCTGGCAGAGGAAGGACAAATGTGGTTGGCCCAGGTCCCCTCTGATCACATCAGAGTATTTTGAGTGTGTTTGAAGCTGAGAGACGGTGTGGTTTAATAAGCAGCACAGCAATACTCTGTTCTTCAGAATTCTTAAGGATTATGGAGTGCACATACAAAATGAAGCACAAAGTACATTTTTTTATGGTAACAATAATACTTTACATATGAATAATACTTCTCAGCATTTACAAAGTGCTGAATAGATTACCTATTCAGAATTAAGCTGCCAGTCTGATCCTGAACTAATGAAAACACAAAGGCGGAAGATCCAAAAAATGATCAAAATGGATACGGTAGTGATACTAAACTGATTTTAATTCCCTCCATCTGTCCCTTCAACTCCCTACTTATTTCCTTCCCCCAGAGTGTTACTCATGTTCTGCTTGCAAACCCCTTACTCCTTTCTGGCCCAGCTACTGTTCGGTCTACAAGACCTAGTTCAGTTCCATCTTCCCAAGGAAGAATCTTCAGACAGCATTGTCCTCATGGCTCTTGGACTAGGATGGTTTTCAAAACTCTTTCTCAGGTGAAAGGAATCTATATATTCTTTTTTTGCATCTTGCTCTTGGAGGGTCAGTTCCCCAAAAGGATCAGATAAACTTTTCTCAATATGCCCTGACTAGGCCTCTTGCCATCTTATATGGCAATTAAACGTGGGTCATGAGCCTCAGGTGGGGTATTATTGTTACTTAGAGAATGTAGATCTGGAGTTGAGTGTAGTGAGAGTCCTGGAGGCCGGGCTTTTGTCCTTGTAGGAGTACTTGGTTCTTCCCCAAATGAGAAGAGATTGTCCCTCCCTAAGCTTTTATCCTTTGCCTAATCAGAGAAGTCATCATTGATTCTCTCCCCCCTTTTATGACCTAGAAGAATGTAGCTGGGGGGGTATCACCATTTGTAAGTTTCCATGAAGTCACCCCCTTATCTGTCACGTGAAGTCTCCTCTCTGGCCTTGATGCCTCAGTTTCCTAACACAGAATATTCCCAGCCTGTTCATTATTCTTTAGAATTTGCTGTCTGTAAATTCCCCATGTGGGTTATAAAATTTTGTCTTTTTTCTCCTACTAGCCTGTCAGATGTAATTTGTTTTTCTTTTTTTCTTTTTTTAGATGTAATTTGTTTTTCTGTCCAACCTTAGAAGCACCCAGATGGGGCAGGGGAATTTTTTTTTATGAATTATTTTATTTTATATAATTGTTACATCATTTTTCATTTTTGCATAATGTATGCATTTTCATTTTGATTATATTCCCCATACAATTCCCAACACCTTTTTCTGACCCTAATCCCTCTTCTCCTCCCCCCGCCCCCCAATGTAGTGTGTCTCTGGTCTATAGTTGCTTGTTGATTTTGATTTTTACTTTATTGCAATTAGTCTTTTTCCTGGTCATTTATTTAGGTCTTCTAAATTCCTGCTATGAGTGAGACCATCCGGTACTTTTCTTTTTCTTTCTGGCTTATTTCGCTGAGCATGATCCCTTCCAACTCCATCCATGTTGCTGCAAATTGCTTGAGTTTATCTTTTTAGATTGCTGAGTAATATTCCATTGTGTATATATACCACATCTTCCTGATCCAGTCATCTATTTTTGGGCATTTGGGTTGTTTCCAAAGCTTAGCAATTGTAAATAGTGCTGCTATAAACACAGGGGTGCAGGTGCCCTTTTGAGTTAATGTTTCTGTGTCCTTTGGGTAAATACCTAGGAATGGAATTGCTGGATCATATGGAAGTTCTATCTTTAGTAGGTCAAGAAGTCTGCATTTCCTCTTCGGAGAAGTTTCTTTTTAGCTCTCTGCCCATTTTTTGACTGGATTATTTTCTTTGTTTTTGTTGAGTCTCATCAGCTCTTTGCAGATTTTTGTGATCAGTCCTTTATCATTAGTGTTGTGTGCAAAAATTTTCCCCCAGTCGGTGGGGTTTCTCTTTGTTTTGGTTATTGTCTCTTTTGCTGTGCAGAAGCTCTTTAATTTGATGTAGTTCCAGCTGTTTATCTTTGTGATGTAGTCCCAGCAGGGGAATTTTTGCCTGGAATTTTTTTATTTTTTTCCCAGGTCTATAATATATCCTGGTGACGACACTATAGATATACACAATGAGCTTCTTCATCGTCCCTTTTCAACAGTTATGTACTACTTCACTGTGCGTCCAAACAACGTCCTACTGATAAATACTTGGTTGTTATAGATGGTCTGGCAAAGAATAGCTGTAATATTCTGTAATAATGTAAAATACATACTTTGCTTTCATGTTTCATCTATCTATCTATCTATCTATCTATCTATCTATCTATCTATCTATCTATCTATCTATCTATCTATCTAAGCAGTGGGTACAGTCAGAAACGTGGGAGGGTAAGAGAATCCACCAGAGCAGGAGCAGGGAACAGAACAGGCATACCAATGAAGCACACTGCTGAGGGGAGCAGCGGGAGGCAGGAGAGGTCTGCGCGCCATGTGGGACCCTCGCCGGTGGCTGGGGATAGAACCAGCGCT